TAAAGTTAATAAAGAAAATTAGAGCGCCACACGCGCCCCACGATGTAATACATCGGGGATAGTTAAAAAAAAAAAAACTTTACAAATCTATTGGCAAAATAATATTGATACTTTTTCTCTAGACAATTGTGCTCAAGAAATGCTAGATAAAAGAATTATATGAATTGAAAAACTTTAAGATTATCTAGAAAATATTTATAGATTATTTGAAGATGAATTAACTGATACAGAACATGAATTAAATATAATTGATTTTGAATATTTTTGTGAATTATTATGAACTAAAATAGAAAATGCATTAGATGAATTTGTTAAATAGATAGAGATCTGAGTTTATTTATCTTTAAGTGTTTGTAGATTGGGTGAAGAAACCAGATCAAAATTTGGTCATACTCTTTTAAATATATTTTTTAACAAAAGCTCTTTAAAATCTTCTATTTTTAAAAAAACCTTTTATATCCAAATTTTGAAAAAAGATTTGTCTAATGGATGCTCAAATTTATTTAAACTATTAGAAGCATTAAAGCAGTATAACTTTTTTAAAGAGTTCAAGACATTTGCAAATTCTGATAAAGCAAAACTAATAAAATTTTCTCTAATTTATGAGTTTATTAAATTTTATATATAGAACATCATAGTATATTAACAACAATTGAAAGGATTATTTAATTATTATGATATAAAGGTTTATCTAAATATGAATATACAGTTACAAGAAGCACATATTTAACTCTCTGGTTTGAATATCAGACTTTGAGAAATTTCTCAAGATATGTTACAAGGTATTCGACAAAATGCCAGAAATTTTGAAGTTAGTAAGCAATTAAAAAATAATAATATTTTCATAGAAAAAAAATAAGTAAAATACTTAACAGTTTTCTCATCTGATAAAGTAAAAAATAGCTATTAATGTAATATAAAAAAACATATAATATAATGATTCTTGTAGTTCTTTAATTATAAATATAACTGGTCATTATTAATTATTAAAAAAACTATTGTATATAAATAGAATTTAGTTAAAATAAAGAGATTTTTTTTTCTATAGAAGTTTTATAAAAAAAATATATAGTACTATAGTATATACTAATTAGTTACTGTGGCTTATTTTATTCAATTATATTTGTTAAAACAATTTTAGTTGATTGTTAAAAAATAGGTAAAAATTTAATATTATTACTATGAAAAACATCTTTTATTAAACATTTTATGTTTGTGAAAATAAAAACTACTAAATATTACAAAAGAAATTAAAGGCAAAGTAAAGTTTTTTTTTGATAATCATTTAATATAGAGTGCAAATTTGAAAAATTCTATTATAAAAATCTTTATTAGTGATCATTACTATATTACCTGTATTATATTTGTAATTAGACTAATATGATACACCTCATAGAAAAACATTTGTATGATTGGCTAATTTTATATTAATCTATACATGCAATGCATGATAGCTAACCAATAAAATTGCTGAATTGCTAGTTATACAATTTATACAATGTATTGTATAAAAATATATTGTGTCTTTAAAATTTTTAAGTACTAAGTTTTTTTTATTTCTAATCTTATTTTAGTATTTATTATTTAAATTAGAATTTTTTTTTTTATTAAGTATTATATAGACTTCACAGTTGTAAAATATAGACTAATTTATTAATTTATTATAATAAAATAAAAAATTAATAATACAATAATTGCAAAATTGAAACATTCATTATAATTAATTTATTGTATTTGAAATTTTAATAACATATTTTTTAATGAGTTTGTTGCATATTTTGTTGATCTTTTATATTCATCATTATCATTACAAAGAATATTATTTTCTTTTTCTATAACCTATTTTTTTCATTTTTTGTCTTTTTTGTTCAAGTTTTTCTTAAAGTTCAATAAGGATTAAACCTGCTCATTAATATTATTTTGCAAAAATAAAAGGCAATGCAAATATTTATATCTATTATTACTATAACAAAGCTTATAATAGGTATGACTACAAGCTAACATTTCAACAAAAACCTCATTATTAGATAAAAATATACAATTTGATGAATCACAATAAAGAAAAACTTCTGGCTTATAAAAAGTACTAAAGCCCAAAGGAAGATGCCATAACTGTGCTTCTGGCATCTTTATTACAATTAGTAATACAATGATATTATCTTTTTTTGAAGAATGTTTTATTTGTATTAGAAGTAATATTAATAATCTATGATGAAAAAAACATATATAAATTTTAAAAAAACATTTCAAAAAAAAGCAAGCATATTTCTTTATCAAAACTGTTATATTCTGTGCTGAGTATTTATATACTGCCTATAAAGACATGTATGTGAAAATTTTTCTAAAGCCATTGTCATCTAGATGCAATTGATTGATATAATATCTAATTTTAATAATTTTCTCTGCTTCTAAGTGTTTTTGTATATTTCTATATAGAAAGCTTTAGAATATTTTTACTAGAATATCTGAAAATTTTGGGAACTTAGTTTTAATTGTCACTGGGATCAGGTGGTTATTTAATTCCCAGAAGAAAATATCAGAAAGAAATATCAGTTGTGCTTTCATATAATTTTTGCAATAAAATCTAAAAAACACTGTTTAAACATAAAAGCAAGATTCTAAATAAGCATTAAAATCTTTAAAACAAAAGAAGACAGCATAAACATTTAGTATAAGCAGAATTGTATTATTAAAAAGGTCTTTAAATACAAAATATTCAGCATCTTTATATAAAGACCCAAATTTTATTGTTATAATAAGGAAATTTCTTGCCAAGCATTATAGAAAATTTTCAGAAGAAGGTTGATATATCATAACTTGAGGTTCTGCACTAGGACTACTCATTCTCTAAAAATATAAGTATACATTTCTGAAAAAAAAGATTGATATTAAAGAAATACCAACTCTTGACTATTTAGTAAAATGTAAAAAGAACTTATTATAGAAAGAACAATCAAGTTTTTATTAGTAATATTCAATAAATTACAATAACCTAAATAATGTAAAATTGCTGTTCTGATATAAATTTGTTCTGACTAATAAGCTATAATAAAAATAATGTATTCTTGCTAAATATACTGTTGTATAGTTGAAATATTCACAATAGTATCAATAATTTTAATATAATCTTTCAAAAAGTGAAGACTATTTTTTTGCAAATCTATAAGGATAATATCTTTTATTAAACAAGTGCTTCATTTCTCTTTTAGCCTAATATTATAGCTGTGAATAGTTAATTTTTTGATTCTTGTATCATTATTAACAAAATGAAACTCTTATTATTGATTATATAAAAGGTTTTAAAGATTTATAAACTTATTTTCTATATTAGTTTTAATCAACTTAGCATTAACTAGTAAGAAGTTATATACATTTGTCTTTGTAATTGCCTGTTATGTCATAATTAGATTCATCAAAATTATTATAAGATATGTAGCACTTAATGTAGAAGTTACATCTGATACTCTAAAATTGATTAAAAAATTATTAGAAGATATATTAAATACAAAATATTAATATTAATCAAATTTTACAATAAAAAAAAACAAAAAAAAAACAAAAAATAACTAATATGTAAATGCTATAATAATTATTGATATTTAATATCAACACTTTCTCTATACATTCAATAAGAGTTGATTTAACAATTTTCTTATACTCTTCAACTATAGTTTCTTTATACCAAGTAATTGTATAACATGTTGTTGCTATATTTAAATCAGCAAGAGTATCTATTGCAGTATCAGTAGTTCTAGTAAAATCTAAATATATAACTAAATCTTTTTTAAAATTGTTCATAAATTTGTTATAAATTCTACAAAAAAGATAAACAAATAAAAACCGTTTTTTTATTTAAACTATTGAATTTTTAGTTTTTGATAATAAGTTAGATAAAAAATACAATTCATCAAAAAAAACCTTTAATTATACATTTTTTCTTTTCATAATTGATCGAAATTCATTAAAAAAATATATTGTTAGTTTTTCTTTATTTTCATGAATATATAAAATGTCTGTTAATCTTTTTATTACTTTAAAAAAGATAAAATATTTATGTCTTTGGCTTCATTAGCCTTACTAGTTTTGGTTAGATCTATCTCAGTTAGATCTATCTTAACTTGATCTTGTTAAAAATCAGTTTGAGTATGCTAAACTATAGAACTATTTGTTATGATCTTATTGTAACAACTTAAACAAATCATAATATCTATTTGATAAGAAGAAGATAAAATATTATTAGTTTGCTCTTTTATTATAACAATTTGTTATTTTTTTCTAATAAGTTGATGTTTCTCTTTAGTATACAGCAATTTCACATAGTTCAATAATAATCATTTTGTTTTATAAGTATAGTCTTTTAAAATTTGGATTATTTTAGATTATTTTTAACAATAAATATAAACATTTATTTAGAGCTAGAAATGGATTTCACAGCAATTTTTTTGTTATTGAAACGTTACGTTCTCAAAAAGTACTTTAAAGTGTATAAATAAGTTACCTGAGCAATTGATTTACATCAGCCAATCAGATGAATGTCCGTCTATGATGATACACCCCAATAGGGGCCTGCGAATTGCCTATTTTTAAGGCCCGGCCCGCATTTAGGGTTAAAATTTTTTTTCTGGCCCGGCCCGCATTTAGAGTTACTATTTTTTTGCCGGCCCGGCCCGCATTTAGAGTTACTATTTTTTTGCCGGCCCGGCACGCAATTATAAAATTTTGCTTCAGGCCCGGGCCGGGCTGCTGGACCCAATGCAGGCCTCTACACCCCAATGTCTTATGCTGTCCTGTACTGTATAAAATAAAACTATTCGACATTTCATATGATCATGTGAATTTTGCCTTTGAAAAAACTTCACATGATCATATTAACATAATGTATACATATATTTTGCACGTGCAGAACATAGAATCATCTTTGATATCCGGGTTTCTTCATTAAATTAAATTTACTACGATGTCCTCGGCAAACAACGATATAACACTCCCACATTCCTCTTCCACCTCTTCCTTAAGCGCGCCTCTTTCTGAAAACACTTCACTTCAAACTCCCATAAATCCTGCTACAATTCTTGAAAAATATAAAGGAAAGAAAGATTCGAATAAAGGTTGTGTATTTGATATTTCGCTTCAGGTTATTCATATTTTTGCGGCACAAGTTTATTAATGATTATTTACTTCCCAAATTAATAAGTTGTTGTACGTTTTAGAGCTATAGGTAACGCTCCGATTCTGAAACAACCTTTTTTTAAAATAACTGCATCCAATAAATTTCAAGTCGTGATCCAATTTCTAAGAACCCAGCTTAACTATAAAGCATCAGATCCTCTGGTAACTTTGATTTAATTTTTTAACCAACAAATCTAAGATCATGTTTTACCATTCTAATTTTTTCGTATTATTTTATTTAAATAGTTCTTATATGTAAATAGTGCTTTCTCTCCTGCTCCCGATGAGATTGTGTCAAATTTGCACAAGGTATGTCAGATGCGTTTTCAGTTGACTTTTTATCTTCAAATATTATATTTTTTAATTTATGTTCTTCTCAATAGTGTTTTAATACAGATGGACACCTTATAATAAATTATTGTACAAGTGCCGCATGGGGTTAGTGTTGTGAATGCTTAAATATATAATATATAGATTATCATTAAACATTTCGCTTAATCATAATAATAATGAAAATTTAAACTTCGAGAAAATAATAATTCTGTAAAAGTAGTTAAAAAATGTCATACTGCAGTTAAATAAATTACGAGGTTCTGAATTGAAACCTTTTTTTATTTCAATAAAACATTTTAAATATAAAGCCTCATTATGCGTTTTCTGGATTAGAGCTATCATTTAACTACTTATTAATGCTGAAGAATGTTTTTATGTTAAATGCTAACATAAGTAGCAAAAAAAATGAAATGTAAAAATTGATTTTTTAATATAATGACGAATTTAATTAGGTAAGAGTGTATTTTGGACCATCTCCACCTTCAGGTGTAACCCAATCAATATTTTGAGAAACGTCTTTAATGTCACATGTTTTACAATGCACACAATTTTGCGAATTAATTTGCAGGCGCTTTTCACTTGGATTAGTTTCATCATCGACAAATTCATAAACACCAGCTTGAAGTATTAATGAAATGATTGGATTGTAAGAATATGCCGTTTTAAGTTAAAAATTCAACATAACATTATTTACCTGGGCAGAATCTTGATTCCGGACCACCGAATATTTTTAAATTTCGTTCAACTGGTATAGTCTTGTCTCTTACTCTTAGATGTACAGGCTGATTTTCGGCATGATTTGTTCCACTTCGAGAAACGCTTTCAAGAAGGTCAAATGATATTACACCATCTGGTTTAGGGTATTCTATTGGTTTACACTCCCTTTGAGTTAGATTAAATAACATAAATTAGTAAATTAGAAGTGCACAATTTACAAAATTCAATAAATAGAATCGTTAAATAAATTACTTGGCAGGCTTCAAAGAAGCATAATCTAAATGATGTTTGAATGTCCATGGAATACGGCCCTTTAAAAACATCATGTCTAAGCCCGAATATATGAGACCTCCCCACAATCCCAATGGGTTACTGAATGATGGTCTAATGTTCCTAACTTTGTATAATTCTTTATATACCCATGAGTCTTCAATAGACTTCTCATAAGCAGTTAGGGTCACAGGTCCAGACTCGGACTTGTTAGATATAATAGCGTCATATGCTGCTTCTGCGGCAAGCATTCCAGATTTCATTGCAGTGTGTGTTCCTTTGATTTTAGGAACGTTCATAAATCCAGCAGTACAGCCAATAAGAGCTCCGCCAGGGAACACCAGCTTAGGGATCGACTAAAAAAAATAGTGTCAAAAAAAAATTATCAATGTAATGATGTAATTAACACATAGACCACTTGAGTGAATAGCGACAAACTTGTATACCTGATATCCACCTTCATTAAGCGCTCGTGCACCATATGCAATACATTTACCTCCTTCTAGAAATTTCTTAATATACGGGTGCAGCTTGTATTTCTGTGGCAATGTCATCCATCATTTAAATAACTACAATTAGTAAAATCTGTCAGGCAATTAAAAATGAATTGGAAATATTGTAATTGCAAGCTCAGATGTGTTGTTCATACTATTGACCTGGAATTCTTTATACGGGCTTAAATGTGGATTTTGATAATCCAAAGCCACTACAAATCCTATTTGCACAATATTATCTTCCATGTGGTACATGAAGCCACCCCCGTATGTTTTGAAATCCAATGGATATCCTACTGAATGGAAAACCAACCCAGGTATGCGCTTTTCTGGAACAATCTCCCATACTTCTTTGATACCAATCCCATACGTTTGAGGTTGCCGATTTTCACGAAGATTGAACTTTCTCATCAACGTCTTGGTAAGCGACCCATGACATCCCTCGGCAAGAAGAGTAACCTTTGCTTTGAATTTCATACCACGCTCAAAATTGTCCTTTGGTTTAAAATTTTTATCAAGGCCCATATCATTTGTAGCAATGCCACATACACTACCATCGTCGTTGTACAAAACCTATTCGATTAAAAACACATGGTTATTTACATAGACTAAAATTTTAGGCAGTCATTATGTAAAGCCTAACCTCACTTGCGGCAAAACCTGGATATATCTCGACGTCAGCGTCTTCAGCCTGTTTTCCCAACCATTTCACAAAATTGTTCAAGCTGGTTATGTAATTACCCTTATTAGACATCTGAGATAAATGAGGAAGAGGGTATGAACTTTTTTCAGTCAGTAATCGTAAAGAATCTTTAAGGGCCGGTTGATTAAGAGGAGCGTTTTGGTCTTTCCAGTCAGGAATAAGTTCGTTAAGAGCTCGCGGCTCAATAACGGCACCAGAAAGTGTATGCGCACCTGTATGTCAAATAATCATAGTTTGACTTAGAGAAAATATATTACTAATATGGAAATTGAGAAACGTTTTATGTACCTAATTCGCTAGCTTTTTCGATTACAACCACCCTGATCTCTTTTCCTTCGCTATTTGCGAGTTGCTTCAGGCGAATGGCAGCTGATAAGCCTGCAGGACCAGCACCAACTATCACAACATCTGTTTCTTCTTCAACCCTCTCAGCAACCAAACGTGGATCGACTGCCTGGTCAGTGACTGAGGCAAGCCGCAAAGAGGATGTAGTCAATAGACGACGAGACAGTACATAAGAAGAAATTGAAGGAATAAACCGAGAAAGGTGTCGATAAGTCATATTCAAATATACTGCATCAAGGTGGAAGTGATCCTGAATCTAAATCGATACAAATTTTAAGAGATCGAAATTAACAGATTATCATGGCCTTTAACATTAGATTATCATGGTTTTCTCAGAGGAAGACAATCATATTATTGGTTAAATTTGTATAGATCAAAACGTGATAATCAATCAACACTACAACGACCCGTCGATGTTACACTAATGATTTTTCACCCGGTGTGCAACATATAAAAAAATCATTTTACAATACCAGATCATTCC